TGAGCTCTATCCTCGGCTCTATCGTTATACCTTCATTACTCAAAGTATAGGTTTTAATGCCCAAGTTTTTCCAAACAAGCAGAATTGTCTCCTTTTATAAACTTCATTTTAATCCATTGAAGAGGATGTGACCCTGAAGTGAAAGTTTTAGTGCAAAAAAATCTAAGAATAAATATTTAAACCGCATCTTGCTACGATGGTCCGTTTTTGAGTTAGGTCGTTTTAAAGTTACAACTAGGTGTTTGTGACGTCACACTGGATTATAAGGGACAGTATTAACACGTGTAAGAATTTTCCAAAACAAAAAAAGAATTATCTCCTAGAGCAACCACTCAAAGTATAGGGTACGGTTCAGTGAACGACCAGGAAGACTGCGATTTCGGCGGTTGCGACATCACAAGTTCCTGCATAATTTTATCTTCACAAGGAATTTTCTCGGAGACAATTTTGAATATAGGACTGCGGTTTTCACACGAGATCTTAGATTTTTTTTCTTGATTTAATTATCTTAAGTCGTTTTTCAGGGTCACACCCCGTTTACACAAAGCTTTTAGGAGAGATGTTGAATTACTTATTTATTTTTCAAACACGTGGCTAGGGCAAGTTGAATTACATAGTGCGGCTGGACTAATTGGCATGAAATGCCGTCTTGCGCGGATAGTGGCTTTCTTCGATAACAATATAGGATAGTGTTTCAGGTGTATTCTTGCCTTTTTTTTCTATTTTTGTTAGCGCATTGGAAATGTGTGTTTCTTTTAGGTATTTTATTTTTTGTAATAATTTTTTTTATATCTTCCTAATATTTGGTTTTCATTGAAGGATATTTTTCTTATTTACTAAGTACAATAAGTAGGAACTTATGCCATTTTGCTCGACATATTAGGCGAGCAAGATGGTTTTTCGCATCATGCTTTAGATTGTGGCAAGTTTTTAGTTGTTTGTAATTTTTCAAATTTACCTCTGAAATCGAATCTAAAACTAATTGGCTAAAGGCCCAAAATACTGTAAGGGGCAGGCTACTAGGTATAAATAGAAGAAAAATTAGGTAAAATAAAAACAAAAATTTTAAACAGATAATCTAGGGCCGATACTTTTGCTCTCGATTAACGAATTTGATACGTTGTCAAAGTTTTGCATGGGCAATGGTCTATATAAGTATGATGTGGTTAGAGCACATTCAAATCCCTGATTATTTTTAACGTCTGTCAAATAAGAGCAAAAGTACCGGCGCAAATATAGCAAATTTTTAAACAGTTCACCTTCTTGAACTAAACAATGACCTAAACGATCATAGAAAGCTCTACAAACATTATTTAGCATCACAGGGGTATAACAGTTAGATATATTTCTCGAATTTTGAAACGCAGCTGCTCAAGGTCCACGGTGCGATCCTCCTGAAAACCATACATTTTTGATTTGCAATAACCCCATAGAGAAAATAATCGTTGGGTGCAAGATCGGGAGAGCGGGCTAGCCACAGTATCGTAGCTCTTGATTCAGCAATGAGACGGTTCGGAAAAGTATTATTCAAATAGTCCCAGAATGAAACCCGTATTATGGGCTGGACAACCATCTTGTTGAAATCATGTTTCGTTAAATCTGATCTTCTAATTTCTGGAACAATTTGACGTTGCTGAAGATCCAAATATTTTGGACCAATGAAGTACGGCCAATAATATGTTCTCCATACAAACCGCTCCAGACATTTACCTTTTGAGGACGCTGGGTTTTAAGTTCAAAATTCCTGTGTAAATTCTCCTTAGACCTATAACGAGTGTAATAACATTTTCATTCACCTGATGTTGTCCTCGGGATCAATTTTTTGGAAGTTTCGTACTTTGTACGTACGATACTTATTATTTTTTTTATTTTTTTTTCAGAAGCTTCCTCACCGTCCTAGTAGGTACTTGAATAAGTCTCGTGCGCAAGCGCACGAGTCGAAATAGTTCGAGTTTCGTTAACTAATGCCAACAACATAATATCTTTTGCTTCTTTGATCCTCATTATTGTCCTGGTCGTCATTTCGTTTATGGTTTCGGGGAGAAATGCAAACGTATTTTTGAAAATTATCAACAACCCTAGAATTTGTGGTAATTGCAGGAAGAGGTCTTTCAGGATAATTTTCACCGAATAAATATCGAACTTATTGTAATGAATTACACCGAAAAAACCACTGAACAATTTTGACTTTTTCAGGAATTACATAAACTTCCATTTTAATATCTTTATATCTATATAAGTGTGCGGTAACTAAGGTACCTATATCACACGATTTTGCGTGCGGTAAGTATCATATTACCGCACGGCGTGCTGTAATAGCGTGCGGTGATACCTCACGCTGTATATCTGTCTTCAATTACCTTCCTATCACCTTAATTCTACCCGTCCACTGTCAAAGGTGACAGACGCAGTTTTATTTTCTATAATTTTCAAACTGCTTTCCTATATTTTGTCACCGCACGGTTGTAGATAAAATACTGCATATAAAACGTACGGTAATTAGGTTATTAACCGCCCTTGGAGATTGCAAACCTCGCCTCACCGGCAACGGCTCGGTTTGCGCTCTCGCGTGCGGTAATAACCTAGTTGCCACACTATTTTTAAAAATCGTGGTGTTTTCTGGCATGCGTACGCCTGCAAATTCTTCAGGTTATACATCCTAGATATATCCCTAGTAGCTTGCCCCTACTGTATGTTGATCTCTCAGTTTTTAGTTTATATCCTTTTATACACCACATGAAAGATATGGATTTTCAAAAGATTTTATGCCATCTTGCCTGCCTCTGTCCTAAGTACCTACCTATAGCAGAATATGTCATTCATTGCGATACGATAGTTGTGGAAAAATAGCAAGCAATTGGAAAAAATGAATATATAGTTAAAAAAGTGATTAACAGATAGAGAGCAGATTTAGGATAGCTGATGAAATTTAATACCTATACAGTGTGATTTTTTTAAGTATGCAACATATGGGGATTTTTTTTAGTAATAGCACAACCCAAATACAAACAAGGCCAAAAGTTGGTGCATGTCTCATAATCATATTAGGTGCACTTAGAGTGGTTGCAAGTCAAACAGCATACAGGGTAGCTCAATAAACAATATCAAAGCTGGTACTGTAAAGTACCCTTATTTTAGAAAATTCAGCAAAATGTTATAGAGAAAAGTTGTTTGGAATTAAAATTTATGCCTAAATACCAAAATATAGCCTCCTAAGATTTTTTTTATTTTCTTTCGAAAAAAATCTATAATTTATATATTTTTTTTATTTTTTATTTCCGCCCTTAAGACTTTCAAAAATTAATCAAAATCAAATCAATTTTACATAACTTTGTTCAAATTCAAGCATATTTGTAAAACTAACTTAGATTTTTAATTTTTTATGGAATCACAAAATTCATGTTTGTTGCAATGATATTCAACACAACTTTAAAATGTCGCAATTTTTTTTTAACAAGTTAAAACAGTACGAATGATAATAGCCGTATTAAAAAAACTCTCCCTAAAGTGCAAAAGTTTTATTTTATTTAAGTGAATATTAGTAGAATTTTGATATTTTTTGAGCCACCCTGTATGCTGTTTGACTTGCAACCACTCTAAGTGCGCCTAATATGATTATCAGACATGCACCAACTTTTGGCCTTGTTTGTATTTCTATTTTGCTATTACTAAAAAAAATCCCATATGTTGCACACTTAAGTAATGACACTGTATAGTCGATGCCATGCATGTGTTCTAAATACCTACTATAGGCTGCCTGGCCTGGTAAAAATTAACCGGTAATTTGTGCCTTAGCTTAGTTCATGCCTAATATAAGGTACATAAAAAGTTTATTCCAAGTTAAATTCTTAAAAAAAAAATCTTGTCTCATCAATCATACCTTTCCACGATGGAAGAAAGGTTATTGTAGAAATTACGTTTTACTAGATAAACAGCTTTAAATTTTAGCGATTTTGATACCATCACAGATATTTAGAAGGAGAGGCTCTGAAAATAGCTTAAGAAAAAAATCATAGTGCGAAAGACATGTTGTTGATGTAATGGCTAAGGAACGAGTTAAAGCTATATTTCGCGAGCAAGAAAAAACAGTACCTTCAAATTACAAGATGTACGAGATCTGTTAACAATAACGCCGTTATATCACGTAACTGCAAAAAACTGGAGCAATGCTGTAAACCATGCATAAAGAAAGAACAGAACCCTACCAAACTCTTGGAAAAGACTGTGGAACCATTAATTACAACTGACAACATCTGATTCAGATGAGAGTACCTAATTCAGAGAAAAGTCGTTCAGAGAATTGAACATTTTTCTGATTTATTTTTTTTTACCTTTTTACTATAATAAACTCTATTAAGTATACCTAGGGTCGAAACTTTTGCTTTCGATTAACGAATTTGACACGTCGTCAAAGTTATGCATGGGTCAAAGTCTATATAAGTAACTATGATGTGGTTAGAGCACATTCAAACCCCTGATTATTTTTAACGGTTGTCAAATGAGAGCAAAAATACCAGAGCCTACTGTTTCTATTGCAATAGGTAAACTTCTTGTACATTTTCATTATTGTAATATACTTATTCTTTATTTGTGAAAGGAGTATTATTATTATTTTATGATATAAAGTAAGGAGTCCCTTACCTGCAACGTCGCTAGTGGACGATTTGTTCCAAAATATCGGACTAAGCCCTTGTTGAAGTTTTATGACACTATTTTATTCAAACCGGTAGAGTGTGTCGGTGAAATATTGTTAAAACAAGTTTATGCTTCTGGTTAAATTTACGTATTATATATTGATCTTTTTTCGAGCCTTTTTTTGTGTGTTTAAATTTATAATAACGTTAGCAGCTCCAAATGAAAAGGAAACAGTATAGATACAGTGTATCATCTAGTTATTTAAAAATACATAAAAACATAACGTTTTTTTAGTGGGTACCTACCCAAAACCGTCGCAGCTTACAAACTAAATGTTGAGTTTAATATTCGTCCTACAGTCCTACCTTTTAGCGCCAATCTAAACCAACATCAAATGCATTCACTGGGAAATTTCAAACACAAAAATCAAGTCCTCAATGAAACAAAGCACCGACGCAATCAGTCCGTTATTGCCGAAGATCAAATTACCCGGAAACAAACGAATTAAAAAAAAAAAAAAACTAGTTGCGAATCGGACAACCCAAATTATACTTGATTAAACCGCAGGGTGGCGGGCGTACACCTATTCCGCCTGATTTGACGATAATTACGCGTTACTTCTTGCTCGACTGACTGATCTTTCGGCCCAACCAAGCACGTGTTTAAAGGTTTTGCCCCGTTAAAGCCTATATGGTGCTATGCCACACGAAGTGTACAGAAGACTGGCTTTAGCATCATGTCACTCTGTTGTTCAAGGGTGACTTGATCCTAGGTACACAAGGGAGGGTCTCAAAAATGGCCACGCCTCTACTACAGTCACACACCGCCAGAGCACACTCTCTGTTACGAAGCCTAAAATATATCTGCTCCGTGATAATCCTTGCCTTTCGCGAAAGATAACAATAGGCTTCACATTTTGTATATCTCTCAACAAAACTATTTCAATCAGTGCTTTACTTCTTTGACAGAATCTTTCCTATGCCTCGCCAACTTTCTAACCTTAAATGCCGGTTAAAAACAAAAACCGGGAAATTCACAAAAAAAAAGTCAATCCAAACAAACTTTAAACAATCGAAGTTAAACATTTAAAGTCCTTGATTTCTTGGTCGAAAAGGTGTTAAAAACTAGTAAAATACAATCAAGAGGCGTACCAGAGAGATTCGAGCTTTACTTTCGCCTGAATGGTCGTGTAAATCTGTGAATTCGATTGGCTGCGAGCGGGGCGCCATTGTTCACAAAGCGACGGCGCACTTGGACGGAACACTCACCCGTTCCGACGTCGGACGCGGGCATTTTCGTCGGGACGCCTGAAACTTCACGACCGACTCTGTGATGTCGATTTTTTGACTCAACTATTATTTTTGTTGGAAAAAATAAAAATTTGTGCCGTTTCTTTTTTCTTATGCATGGTAAGCGGTGATAAGTGGCTCGTCTTGTTTTTTGATTTAGTGGCTTGGCAGTTCGAAGTGCATCTATCCTTCAGCGTCCTCCGTTACTTATATAGTTCAATCTAACCTTATTTGTGACGAAGGTTTTAATCATCTGTGAGGTTGTCACCTTACATTCGTGAAATCATTGAAATCTCTAAAAAAAGTGTATAGGCTATCATTACTTTTTTCGTAGTTTTATATTTTGCCACGTTCTTGATCGATGTACAGTAAAATGGACGTGTATTTTAGCCGTTCATAACTCTACAATCTGTATGTATGTACATCCAACAATCTTCAAAAACCATGCCTTATAGGCTCTCTTTTAGCTAAGGTCGATACAAAACAAAAAATGTTTACAAAAACGACAAATTGCCATACTCCCCGTGGCACGTTAGGAATGGCAATATGAGTTGGAGCATATGGCAATATGATGCGAATCTAAAAAGCGCCTTTCTAGTTTTCCCCACTTCTAATAATTTAGACTTTTAGTTTCAGTACCTACCTACTTAACTTTGAAGTCGCAAAAATTTAAAGAAATATTTGATAATCCCTGAAACTTTATGCCTTGGTACTCATATATCGCACTTCAAAGTTTTTATTACTTTATGATAGCGTTGAAAATAATAATAATGTCGTTGCTAGTTTTGAAATTCCACCAAAGGTCGAACTATATGATATAATATTTAAGGTAAAGTTAACTGTCTCGCTACTCACGAAAACTTCTTCAAAGTAACTTTTACTTCCCACTCTCTTAAGTCTTAAAATTACCACGAAGGTCCAATTACTTAAAAAGAAAAACACTTTAAAGTAACGGTCACTTTATAAGGACGATAATACCTATACCCGTTGTCGGCAATCAGCAATTTATTGCATAGTTCTCTCGGGAACGCACTTTTTAATTAAAGAATAAGATGCTAATTGGAACTTCATACACAGTAAAAAGTAATGCGGTGGTAAAAAGTATATATCACAAGGTAAATCATGGGAGTGTTAAAAATAACACTTAAAAATATGCTTATTCATACACTTTAACACTCATAGCGTTTTCCATTTGTCGAATTAGTGCAAAAAAATGTATCCTTATCCTTACATGTTATATGCTTTTAGAAAAAGATGCGGATACACTCAGTGCGCACTGATTGACAAATGGAAATCGCCATTAAAGACAACTAGATATCCCAATGGTAAATTTCGTACAAACACATTTTTATTTATTTTTGTGTTATTCTTACACAGTTTAAATAAATTCTACACTACAAAAATTATATTTTCTATCTCGCTGGTGAGAACAATTGCATTAGTGTTAAAATAACCCAAAAATTGGTTAAACACTCCCGCCGAGTCACCGCTTAGGGCCGGTCTAACTTGCCGAATCTCGTCAGTTGTCCACTGCACTGGCACATTCCGCGTCCATCTTTAATAGTTCGCAAGTTTCGTTATTGATGGCGCTATCCCAGAAGCATTTTTGTTGCTCTATAAGGACGCCGAATCTAAAATTCACTTGAAATTTTTTTTATATTTACATTTTTTTATAGAAACAGAGGTAAGTTCTGTAATAACGCCGCCATTTTAAAGTACCATTATAAAATAAAGGTAAAATGAGTAAAGTTAATATAATTATAGGTACATAAATTTAATGGTGTTTGAGCGAAAAAAAATGTGCACTTGAGGAGTCAGAAGAAATAACTCGGTGATACAAGTTACAAAAATTTGAAAAGTAGTAACGCCTCTGAAAAACCAATCTGATCATGAGACACCGAATTCAACGCTTTCAATTGATGGAAATACGCGAACTGCATCTTAACTTGATGCATGGCTCCTCAACTCCAATGAAGGACCAGAAAATAGTTGTGGTGATGGATATCAACATCAGACGATAGTCATATTGATCGGAGTCACAATTTTCACTTAATTAGGTGAATAGGGTAGAGTGGGGCAGGTTCGGACGGATTTGGTTAAGGTGATACCGAACTTTTATTTTAGCCAAACTAATTGTTCTAAAAATGCAAATATATTGCTTCATATGTTTTTAAAATAATACCATAGCAATTTCAGAAAAAACTTGCACCGTTTTTCGTGAGAATTAATATAAAAAAAAGTTGTCATTTGTCCGAAGGTGCCCACGGTGGGGCAGTTTTGGACACGCATGGGGTAACTCCGGACATATACTTTATAAACAGTTTATTTTTTGACAGGTATATTTTAAATAATTTAGCATCTATCCAAACATCAAAACTCATAGTCTAAAGGAACTCCAAACATACAAACCTATAAACTTTGGCAAAAGCCTACAAAAATAAATAATATAAAAATAACAAAAAAAAATAAATAATGACAAAAAAACGGAAATTGAACATGTTTTTATTATTAAAGTATAGAAGAATTTATTTTAGATTGAAAGAACTAAAATCTACGTTGAATTTTAAAAATTTAGCCATGTGAGCATTCCCAGCATGAAAAGTTGATAGTCCGAATGTGCCCCACCCTGTAATGTCCGTATGTGCCCCACATGTACAAAATGTAAAAAAAAAAACTAAAAAAACTGAAAATCATGACTTGTCGATTTTTGAAATATAGGTATTATGTGGTGTGAAACTATCATACTTTGCACGCATACCCCTTTGAAACTTAAAAATTACATCACCAAATCGTGTAAAACCTTACGAGTACAGGATATAATACTTGGTTGGGGTCACTATTTATTTATAATATATTTCTGGTGATCACTCCCAAATTTTTCAAGATACCGGCCCAAAATTTTGTCTGGCGATCTAAAGCAGGCACTGGTACCAACTGTTAAAATCCCGAAACCCGTTAAGTTTTGGAAGGCGGTAAATTCAAAATGTCCGGAGGTGCCCCATGTCCGAACCTGCCCCACTCTACCCTACTTAATACTTTTAAGGCCGGGGTTACCCAATTCCTTAATTCTTAATTTTTGTTCTTAATTCTTAATCTTTAAAAACACCAATGTTAAATAAATGGAACTTTTTAAGAATTAAGAATTAACGACAAATATTAAGAATTAAGGAATTGGATAACTCAGGCCTAACACTCAATAATGTGTTTTTTTTACATTAACCAAATTGTTTAACACTAGGTATATAAAATTTACCTTTGATCAAAACCTAATTCAACACTTAGTCGAGTGTACTTTTTACGTCCTCTAAAATATATTTAACACTCAAGAACGGGTAAAATGAATCTATTTTTTCAATAAAATTTACCACATTTTATCAGTGGTGAATTTAACACGCATGAGTGTGGACTTATAATATGTAGGTACCACTTTTGCTAGTTATCATCGCCTTAGATCATATATGTATATACAGGGTGTCACGAAAGGTTTGTTACAAACTTCTAGGGATGGTAGATCTCGTAAAAATAAAACTTTTTTCTTGATAAACATGTGTCCGGAAATGCTTCGTTTTCCAGATATACAGGGTGGCCCAAATTTAAGCCTCAACATTGGGATCTCGGTAACCGTAAGAGATACGGGGTCGGTTAAATTATGGCAAAGTTGCGCAATTTTATGACCAATAGAATACCGTTTTGAAACTAGAAAGATTCCGAATACTTCCGGAGATATTCGGAAAAAACCAAAATTTTGAAAAATCGTTTTTTTTTCCCGGGCTTATTTGAAAAGCAATTTTAAAATAAATGTCACTTCATCATTGTCACTTCTTCCCCTTTAGAAGATGGTGGTACTTAATTTGAAATTCGACGTTTCGTCTTCAGGCGGCCATCCTTAACTTACGTTTTTTTAAATATGAACCTAGATTTTTTATTTGCGATTTTGTCATCTTTGGGCATCCTAAAACCGATACTGTTTATAATTTTTCAATAACACGGTAAAAAAGCAGGTCCGTATTTGAAAAACGTCGGATTTCAAATTTTATACTGCCATCTTGAAAAGAAGAGAAAGTGACAATGGGAATGTGAAATTAGTTTTTCAAAATCTTTTTAAATGAAATCAGGAAAAAATTTAAGAAAAACGAGAATTTTTTTTTTTTCCGTATAGTTTTCATTTTTCCTGATTTTATTTAAAAAGATTGTGGAAAACTAATTTCACCTCGCCATTGTCACTTTTTCTTCTCTACAAGATGGCGGTATTAAATTTAAAATCCAATGTTTCGTTCCTCTGAAATCATCATTAATTTTTTTTTTAAATACGGACCTGATTTTTTTGCTGTTATTGAAAAATTATAAACAGTATCGGTTTCAGGATGCGCAAAGATGACAAAATCGCAATCCAGGTCCGTATTAAAAAAAAGGAAGTTGAGGATGGCCGCCTGAAGACGAAACGTCGAATTTTAAATTTAGTAGCACCATCTTCTCAAGGAGAAAAAGTGACAATGATGAAGTGACATTTATTTTAAAATTGCTTTT